GGAACTGATGTTGAGGGGGTATTGTTTTTTAAATAATTTTTCTTTATTGACTTTGGAGAAAGAGGAAGGGAGAGTGAGACACCAATAAGAGAGAACAAGGATTGGCCGCCCCCTTCATGCCCCACACTGGGAATTTGGCCCACAACCTGGGCGTGTGCCCTGACTGGGAATTGAACGGGCGACCTCTTGGTCGATGCTTAACCGCTGAGCCACACCAGGCTAAACTGATGTTTTATAGATGAGTTCAAAACTAAATCGTGCTTCATCAGATTCCCTAGGTTTTTAATTCTGTACTGCAGGGAGCACAACTTGTATATGTTCTTAATTTGTAAAAAAAAAAAAAAAAAAAAAAAGTTGCCTCATTCTGAGAAGGGAGTAAGGCAGTGTAAAATACAGTAGCACCTTTCTCAAAGATTGTTACGAGACTTAAGTGAGATGGTAAAGGGAAAAGGTGACCATGGTTATTGGGATCCTTCTGTTAAACTGCTTCTTTATTTAATCCTCATCCAATTCTTTAATCCTTTTTGCATTTGTCTTCAGATAGAGCGGGATGGAGGGATGGGGGGGGGAGAGAGAGAGAGAGAAACAAACATCAACATGAGAGAGACACATCGAGTGATTGCCACCCACATGACCCCAACCAGGGTGGGACAAACTGCAACTGAGGCACATGCCCTTAGCGGGAACCGAACCCAGGATTCTGGTCCACAGGCCGACACTCTGAACCACATCAGCCAGGACTTAAACTGCTTTAAAGTGGGTCATGTTATATTTGTTACATTAGTTAAACGTGTATCATAACTTGTAGACAACTTAAGATAATTAACCCAAAGCAGTTTCAGGTATTGAATGAACATTTTGATCAGAAGACTTTATGGCCCTGGCTGGTGTTGATCAGTGGTTAGAGTGACGTCCACTGAAGGGTCTCGCATTCAATTACTGGTCACAGGCGTACCTGGGTTGCATGTTTGATCCACAGCCGGATTGGGCCAGTTTGGGAGGCAACCAATCGATGTGTCCCTCTTCTTCCTCCTCCCCCTTTCACTCTCTGGAAATCGATTGAAGAAGTGAGCTTGGGTGAGGGTTAACGAAACAAATTTTTTTTAAGTCTCTATAGGGATCCTGGTGTCCTGCTTATCAATGGGAAAGGTTGTTCCTGTAGATGAGAACTGAAGTTTTTGCTAATTTTGTGAAGAGCCAGCAAAGGCAGCTAGCTAGCTCTTCCTCTAGTAAAAGAACTAAAGCTTGGAAGTGGTCCTTTTGTTAAGGACCCAGAAGAGGGAAAGACGGGCTGAGTGTGGGGAGGGGGTGCCTGGAAAGATGTGGTTAAAGTAGCGATAAGCAAGGTTAATCGTGGGGAAGGGTGGGAAATGGAATGGAACTTGACACAGGAAGAGGGTATTGTGAGGTAATAAAGATCCTGCATGATTCTCTACACTGTGATTCCTTCCTGGTTTTTATTTCCACTTGCAGATTTTGCTATGGGTATTCTAAGACTGGCTGGTCTTCTGTTCTTCTGTAAATCAGGGATAACTGCCACCTGTAGATTATTTGGAAACAGAAAGAGGGGTTGGATTTGGTTACAATGACTGGAAAGTACCCACTGGCCTTATTTATAAGGAACTCTCCTCTTGCCAAAATACCAGTGTTCTAGTGAATAATACTTTTCTAAATACTTTCAGAAAGAAATACTGAGTTTGTGTCAGTTCTTCTATTATATGGTCCAGGCCCTTGGACTACAAAGATGACTGTTGGTTCTCTGCAGTGCAATCTTCTGGATGGAGAAAATTGTCATCCGTGGATCCAACTTAGAAAACTGGCAAGCCATTATCTGTAGTCAGCAAATAGGGCTTTCGACAACAGTAAAGGGAAGAAAATTGTTAGCCTCTGTGGATGTACAGGAAAACCTTGATATAACAGACTAAATCAGGCAAAAGGGTGTCCCTTAAAGCCAGAAGTCCATATAGTAAAGTGGGTTACGTATTACTATAATTTTAAGTGTATACTATATGGGTCTAGTAAGTGTGTGCAGTCACTGTAAGTAAGCATGCACAGAGCTGGGGGACCGTCGTCCCGGCATGCATTAAAACTGCTGCAGTGCCCTGGCCGGTGTGGTTCAGTGCTTAGTGTCAACCCTCACCCTGAAGAGTGTGATTCCCAGTCAAGGGCACGTGCGGGAGGCAACCAATCGATATCTCTCTCCTTCCTCCTCTCCATGCTGTCTAAAACTCCATGGAAAAACTATCCTCAGGTGAGGATCAACAACAACCAAAAAAACCCTGTTAAAATAAATCTCAGACATACTATTTTATCTGCACACATTTAATCCTCACTTGAGGATTATTTTTTAGAGAGGGTAAAGCAGAAAAAGTTTGATCTGCTGCCCACACACCTTTACCAGGGAGCAAACCTAAAACCTGAGTATGTGCCCTAACTGAATGACGCTCCAACCAAGCCACACTAGCCAGGGCCCTGGGTCACCTACTTACAGAGAGGCAATGCTAGCTCTTCATTTCCTTGGGGTATTATCACAGGTGACCACAATTCTGCCTCTTCTGTGTTATAGTAGTCACCAGCAATCCTTATACTCCTTGTCTTACAGCTGCATCACTCTAATCTCTTGACTGTTGTTACCTCATGGCCTTCCCTCTGTGTCTGCACGTCCTCTCCTTTTGTAAAGATACAGTGGTGAATTTAGGACTGTCCCTAATCCAGTATAACCTCATTCTGACCATATTTCAAAGATTCTATTTCTGAATAAGGTCACGTTCTGAGATTCTGGATAGAAATACATTTGGTAAGGGGCACTGTTTAACACAGCTCACCATCCTTTACTGTCCAGATCTGTTTGGTGGCTTATCTATCTCATGTCCTCTGTTCTTGGTCCAGCCCTGCACTTGAACAAAACTATTTTCTACTTTTCTACTTAATCATTCGGCTTCTTGGAAAAGTGGGTGGGTGAGGTACGGGTCATGTGGGAAAATACAGAGCTCTAGATTATTACAGCCCCTCCTTTGTGTACTTTTTGAATAATGGGGCTATAAAGGAAACACCCCTCCCCCCAAAGTCAAACTCAGACCCATTTCCAAAACCTCTCCTCAGGGTGTGGGGCGAAGATATGCTCATGTGGTGTTGAGGAAAGCAGACATCGACCTCACCAAGAGGGCAGGAGAGCTCACAGAGGATGAGGTGAGGACAAGGAAGGGGTTTTTGGGTTGGGCCTACCTCAGAAGGGTGCCATATGGATCTGATTTTTGTCCTGCCTGCCAGGTGGAACGTGTGATCACCATCATGCAGAACCCACGCCAATACAAGATTCCAGATTGGTTCTTGAACAGACAGAAGGATGTGAAGGATGGAAAATACAGCCAGGTGTGTATTGAGATGAGATTAAAGAAAGGTAGAACGTCCAGTTAGCATTGGTCATAGGAGGTCCGGGATAAAACAAACATCCCTCCCCCACTCTTCCGAATCCAGGTCCTGGCCAATGGTCTAGACAACAAGCTTCGGGAGGACCTGGAGCGGCTGAAGAAAATTAGGGCCCACAGGGGGCTGCGCCACTTCTGGGGGTGAGTCAGGGTGGGATTCTTCTTTCCCTTCATTCTTCGTTTTCTGTTCCCAGATCTTTTCTGTGTAATGTGCATGACCTGTGATCCTTCTTTTCTCACCTGCAGTCTTCGTGTTCGAGGCCAGCACACCAAGACTACCGGCCGCCGGGGTCGCACTGTGGGTGTGTCCAAGAAGAAATAAATCTGTATGCTTCAACCGTTAATAAATAGTTTATACATCTCTGACTTCCTTTGTGGTTTTTCTTCTGGGGATACTGATAGGGAATGTTAGCTATCATGAAGGACCCTGTTGATTACTTTCCCAAGTTTCTTAGCTAATGTACCCACCCAGGTGCCCAGTGTCCTTTGTTTTGGTTAAAGTGGTGATGTCACACCCTTCCCACCCCACTGAGGTATGAGGTAGTTGGAATCAATGCTCCGCCCTTACGGGGAGCCCAACCAGTTTTCCCTGGGGCTCGAATGTGGAGTGTGTAGGTTGAGCCTAGTCGCCTGCAGCTCCAGTGAGTACTTGCAGCTTTTGACCACCCTAGGTTTCTTTTTTTAATCCTCACCCCGGGGTATTTTTTCCATTTTTGTTCAGTTAGAGTGGGAGGGAGAAAGAAACATCCACACATTGGTTGCCTCCTGCGCAACCACAACAAAGGCTGGAATCGAACCTGCAACTTCATTGGTGCCAGGACGGAAGCTAACCGCTGAACCAGGCCAGCCACGGCGGTAGGTTTTGTTTTGTTTTTGGTACGTGCCCCTAGCGGGAACCGAACCCAGGATAGTACACAGTTCCTCCCTACAATCGCTGAGCCAAACCAGCCAGGGCCGTTTTTTGTTTTTTTCTTTTTTAGAGAAACCTGGTGGGCTGCCTCCTGCATGCCCCCTACTGGGGATCAAGTCTGAAACGGTGCATGTGGCCCCCACTGGGAATGGAACCGGAACCTCTCAGTCCATGGGACCACACTCAATCCACTGAGCTGCACTGGGTGGACCACCCTGGGTTTCTAAAAGATGGGAACTGAGTGTCAGAGTTGAGGGTGGGGTGCGGATTTCTTTGACACAGAATGATGGGCTTCGCACCCGGAGATGCAGTGCGTGGTGGGTGGGGAGGAAGACCTCTGCATCAAAGCCCACTGGCCCAGTTGAATTCCTCCCCTGTCCCTGGAAAGGCCCCACTTCCAAACGGCTGGTGTTCTGCCTGCCTTACTGCACGGCAGGCTGGGGTTCTGGGAACGTGCGGCGCCACACCCTTCCCCGGAAAGGGGCGGGCCTGCGGCTCCACGGAGGGCGGGAGGCAGCGGTACCGCGCCACACCCTTCCCCGGAAAGGGGCGGGCCTGCGGCTCCACGGAGGGCGGGAGGCAGCGGTACCGCGCCACACCCTTCCCCGGAAAGGGGCGGGCCTGCGGCTCCACCGGCGGGAGGCAGCTGGTACCGCAGCAGCTATTCGTCAGCGGGGAGCTTCCGGGTGGCGGGGCAGCGACCAGGTAACCTCCCGCAGCTACAGCCGTGGTCTCCCGCGTCTGCCTTGGCACCTTACGGCGCTGGTGCCGTCCCTGCGCTCTGCTTGTCCCATCCCAGGCGTGGTCGGTTAGGGACTCGAGCTGCTGAGAGCCGGCTCGTGCCCTCCAACCGCCCTCCATCTTTCCCCCAGGTTCCCTCTGACTGCGCCACACCATGCCCTTCAGCCTCTTCCGGCGCCTTCTCCTTGCCGCCCTGCTGCTGGTGATTGTCTGGACCCTCTTTGGGCCCTCGGGCCTCTGGGAGGAGCTGCTGAGCCTCTCGCTAGCCTCCCTGCTCCCAGCACCAGCCTCGCCAGGGCCGCCCCTGGACCTGCCCCGTCTCTTGATACCCAACGAGGACGCCTGTGGTGGCCCCGGCGCCCCTCCCTTCCTGCTCATCCTGGTGTGCACGGCCCCGGAGAACCTGAACCAAAGAAATGCCATTCGGGTCTCGTGGGGCGGGCAGCGCCAGGCCCATGGGCTTAGGGTGCAGACTCTCTTTCTTTTGGGCGAGCCAAGCGGGCAGCACCCTGAAAACGACCTGGCACAGGAGGCAGCGGCCCAGGGGGACATATTGCAGGCGGCTTTCCAGGACTCCTACCGCAACCTTACTCTCAAGACGCTCAGTGGGCTGAACTGGGCGGAAAAACACTGCCCCAAGGCCCGCTACATCCTCAAGACTGACGATGATGTGTTTGTCAACGTCCCAGAACTGGTATCAGAGCTAGTCCGGCGAGGGGGCCGTTGGGAGCAATGGGAGAGGGGCATGGAGCCCCAGAGAGAGGCTGAGGCTGGAGATGAAGAGTGGGAAGGAGACAGCCCCACCTTGGAGAGTCAGCCCATGCCTCTTTTGTACCTGGGCCGTGTGCACTGGCGGGTGAACCCCTCTCGGACACCAGGGGGCAAGCACCAAATATCAGAGGAGCAGTGGCCTCCCACCTGGGGCCCTTTTCCACCCTATGCCTCAGGCACAGGGTATGTGCTATCAGCCTCTGCTGTGCAGCTCATCCTTAAAGTGGCTAGCGGGGTACCCCCTCTGCCACTGGAAGATGTCTTTGTGGGGGTAAGTGCCCGACGAGGAGGTCTCACCCCAACCCACTGTGTCAAGCTGGCTGGTGCCACCCACTACCCCTTGGACCGGTGCTGCTATGGGAAATTCCTGCTGACATCCCATAGATTGGACCCCTGGCAGATGCAGAAAGCCTGGAAGCTGGTGGGCGGCCCTGATGGGGAAAGGACTGCACCCTTCTGCTCGTGGCTCCAGGGAGTCCTGGGCATCCTGCGGTGTCGGGTAATAGCCTGGCTTCACAGCTGAGGATCTGGGCCACCGGAGGCGTGAGGAGCCGGGGTCCAGCAAACACCCCCACAACCTTTCTCCCAGGCCCAAGGCAACTGGCTGTAACTGAACAGTTCCCTCATACCAGATGCTCAGTCACTGAAGACTGAAGGATACCTAGGACCCGGCCGGCCAGCCCCAAAGATGGTCGTGAGGAAAGTAAAACAATGCTGGGGTCATCCTCCTGATCCATGGTAGGAGAGGGGCAGGAGCCCCTCAATAAATTTGTCTCTCTACCTCCTTGAGTACGGTGTGGTCCTCACCAGGAGTCCTGGCACACAAACCTGGGGAGCCCGGACGATGCCAGACCTTGCTGGATGGGAAGCACACCTCCAGGACTTGGAAGAGAGGGACAGCCTCTCTGTGGAGAAAGGCCCTAAAGAGCAAAGCTAAGGCCACAGTGAGCATTAGATATGGGGTGGGGGTAGAGGCCTGTCACTATGACCTCTTGGAGCCTAGAGTAACCCCATTCTGGACAAAAGAACAGGACAGGCCCTCAGGATGATCCAGACACATTGTCCAAAAACCTCACCTTCCTCTTTAATACCAACCCACCCCAGGAACCAGTTGTCCACCCCCAGTTGGAGAAGGGGCACCTGCCCCCTTATTCCAAGGAACAGGGTAATTCCCCCACAGGTGATCTTAGGGAGAGATTGTTCTCAGGCCTGGAGCCTGGCTCAGCGCACAAATCTGTCCAGGGCAGATGGCCGGGCCCCCACAGGCTTCGCTGCCTTCGCTTGCTTCTGTGACTGCTGCTCAAGGCTCTGCCGGACTTTGTCCTGAGATGATGAGACAGGGGCTAAGTGAGAAGTGGCAGGCTGGCAAGGCCAGAGGCACAAGCAGAAAGAGGGTACATCCCAAGGGAGACCTGGCCCATCCCAATGCTCCTTTACCCTGTGTTCCTCGTCCATGACCTTCCTCTTCCTCTTCACTAGGCTTGCTGTCGAGCTTCGGCCCTTCTGCTTTGGCTTTGGCTGGAAGGGAGCCTTGGACTCTGGGTCGTAGCCCTAAGGGAGAGGACGGGAGTAAAGTCTGTGACAGCCTCAGAGACGGAACTGTGGCAGCACCCACCTGCTGTGCCATTTCTGGGGACATGGTCAGGGAGGGTGTGCCTGGGCACTCGGGTCGGCTCCCTACCAGCCTCTCTATCCGTTCCTTCTTTTCCTGCTCCAAAGAGATGACGTCAACTTCTGCCAGGGCTCGTGGATCCAGACAAATGAGCTCTGCAGGTACCTGGAGGTGTCACAGAGGGACAGGAATGGGTAAAGAGGGTGACCCTAAAAAGGACTAAAGCCAAGGAGGCTGCTCAATGCTACTCTTCCCAAGATCCCCAGCATGGGAGCTTTCCCCACCCCAACCCCAGTCCCTAAGCCTCACATCCTCACCTTCTCCAGCAGGGCCTTCACCTCCCACTCCTGCCTCTGCTTCCGGCTCCTGTACGGGTTACTCTCCAGGCCATCAAAGTTGGGCTCAGCAGCCCCTGGAGGGAAGGAAGAGCATGGAGCATAAATAGAAATCCAGTTCAGCACTCCAGCCTGACCAGGCCCATTGCTCCTGGCTGTCTCAGGCCCATCCCTTGGCCTACTCACCAGGGACCAGCATGCTGGTGATGCCCCCACTGTGCCCCACCCCCAGCACATCTTCAAAGGGGCAGAACTGAAGGCCATGCACATGGCCTGAGAGCCGGTGGGTGAGGTAGGGCTTCTCCAGGGAGGGTGGGCTGGCCTTGCCCTGCCCTGTCCATATGTTGACTACATCACCCATTCCTGCAGCCAGCAGGCCCCGCTGGGAGAAGGCTAGGTGCCCTGCTCCCAGGGGGAGGGTCCTAGCACTCAGAGGCTGGAACGTCCCTCGCAAGTCAAAGATCTTCAGCTGGTGGTCCAAGCCAGACGTGGCCATCAACCTAGAGGAAGAGGGGGGACCAATTAATCTGTGGCAAGGGGTTACTGAAGTAGGCCTGTGGTCAAGTCCAGGCATCAAGTCTGACTGGGGAGAAAAAGACTGCATGACCATCACATCAAACACTGCAGACAGCCTCTTGGTTAGGCGTCACACAACTCTGTACTGTTTATTTCCCTTTTACAGATGAGGAAACTGAAGCTCACAGGAAGGAAAGCCGGGTGAGAGGTAGAGTTGGAATTCAAGGCAGGCCTATTTCTTCAGCATCTGCTCTCTTACCGACTCAAGACATGAACCAAAGGGAAAGCGCACATGACAGGTGTACCTAAATGTGACGTCCCACTGCACAGGCAGCACGGCGGCTTGGCAAAGGGAAGGATCAGGAAGGGTCAACTGCAATGATCAGGGAGGACTTCCTGAGAAAACTGGGATATGAGCCATTCTCGGTAATCCTCAAGAAAGCAGAAGAAGAAGTACAGCAGGTACAAATGAATGATCAGTGAAGAGATGGAGAAGCGGAGGCGGAGGTGTGTTTTCAGGACTGGAGATTCCAGGAACATCTGGAGGGGACAAGTTGCAGGGACTCTTTCAAGTCAGACTAAGGCCCTAACCCCCAGACATGCCCTCTGGCAATAACAAGCCACTGCATGGACCTGAGAAAACCTTAGGAGGTAACACGTCATGTGCCAGAGGGCCCTACCCCAGCCCCTTTCCCTGGAGGGCCAGGCTGCTGATCAGATCCTCTCAAGGAATCGGGCAGTGCACAACTTGTTTCTTCCCAGAGGTTGGAGTTTCTGCCTGTGTTCAAGTTGTTCCTCAGAGAGGGAGGCTGAGGAGGAACCAGCCACACCAGGAGGAAGGGGCAGAAGAGTTCCTAAGAGCAAAGATGCCCTATGATGGGGCCAAACAGAGGCCCACCTGGATACTTCTCCTGACAAGACCATCAGGGCCCCAGGTCCACCCAAAGGAAAGGCTGTCGGTGCAAACCAGGAATTACTGAGGGCTCCTGGGACACAGGGCTACACCCCTCAGTGAACCAACAACTCTGGCTCCTCACCCACTGTGCAAATAGCAGCCCACTGGCCAGATGGGCACCCAGGCCACACTACCATGTTACTAAACTTGTAGGAACAGTTCAGCTTGGAGAATATAATCCTAATGCAAGCTTCCAGAAAGCCTCTCAAGGAAGTTGGTAAGGCTCATCTCTGGAGCCCCTGTGGCTTGTCTGAGGCTCTTTGGGTGGACCAGAGATAAGTGGAGTTGGGCCTAAGATCAAAGACCAGAGCTGTTCAGCATCTAAGTGTTGAGCATACCTCAGTGAGTGAGCTGATTAAGCCCTGAGAACAGGAGCAGCTGACCCAGGCAGCCCCAGAAGGCAGAAAGCCTCAGGGCAGGCCTCTGCACTCTCCTACAGCCAAGCTGGCAGGGCTAGGGAGCCAAAAGGGTGGAACCAAATCACTTGACCGCAAAGACACAACTCTGGGAGTCTAAGGGGTCTGAATCTCTGGAAGGCTTTCATAAGCTGGTGGCCACTGCACTTTTCCTTTTCCAGATTTCCTTTAAAACAATTTAAAAATAAAGTTATATAGTTTATATTTAGTGTAGAAGATTCCTGAGCAGCAGTGTCAATGGAAGAAAGCAGCTTGTGGGAAAGATTATTCTGACACCCGTGGGACAAGGCAGGAGGAAACACTGGAGGCTGGAAACTGGCTACAAGCACCACACAAGCCTAAGCAAGCCCACCGAGACAGCAGGATCAGAGAGAAGCAGACCTGGAGGGACCTTTGAGGGGAAAGGCAGTCCAGACTTCACAGGGGATCATGACTAGCAGAGCCTGGGCACCCAGAAAGCACTCGGGAAACAGTGCTTTTGATTCCTGCTTTTCCCATTGCTAAGAAACATGGGCTGTGTAGCTAGCTAAAGTGTCCAAGAAGTTAAATGGTGCATGACAGGATAATGTGGCAGAAAAGGAGCAGGCAAGGAGGAACCCTGGGAGTGGGTGTCCCATCCAGTGATGGACACATCAATTCTGGCGTGACAGAAAACAACTGAATAGCAACTAAATGTCCCACCTAGCCCATCATTCCAGTAAAGAAAATGTAACTGGATCACTGCACCAGGGCAGCCTCAATGGCTGATTCATCCTTATACCCCAGAACCTTAGCACAGAGCCCAGCACGCAGCAGGTGCCCAAATGAAGGCCTGATGAATGAAAGGAATTAGAGGAAATACACAGGAATTTGTGTGAAAAGCTGTCTACCAGATCCAGACATATATACAGTCAGAAAGGATAGCTATGAAATGCAAATACTCTCTCAGGAAGAACAGAAATGCAAAGCAGACCCACCACCCTACCCCTGACACCACTAGCCAGACCCAAAGAGAACGACTGTCTCTAACCGTGACAATGAAGCACAGCGCTCCCTGTTCCCGGGGCACCATGCTAAACTCTATGTGCCTTAAGTCATTTTACTGTCTACAACAGTTTAAGCCAGGCCTTGGCAAACAAATCCAACCCGCCACCCATTTCTGCACCGCCCACAGCTAAGAATGACTTTTACATTAAGTGGTTGGGGAAAAGTCAAAAGAAGAATATTTCCATATGAGAAAATCATATGAAATTGTATCTACAAATAAAGTTTTATTAGAACACAACCACATTCATTCATCTACTGCTTTTGTACTACATTAGCACAGTAGAGGGATCAAGAGAGACACTATGTCATTGGATCACTTCACACTGCTGCTGGAGTCACAGTGACATGGTTATAACTTGACAGCACTTTGAGCACCTCCCAGACACCTATCTCATTACCTGCCTGTGTGGAAGATGTTTTCAAAGGTAAAATATGCCAAGTCTCTCTATAGATCAGTATTAACACATAAACATTTGCAGTAGAGTTGGATGACTTGGAACACTAACTTTGAATATCAGTTAAGTAAAATATCCTCAAAAAGAGGAATCCAACTGTTCCCATTAGTAGACCTGTATTTGAAAAATATTGTATTCAATTATTACATCTTGAATTTCATTGCTTAAGTTTGTGATATTGCCCTGGCCGGTATGGCTCAGCAGACCAAAGAGTCTCGGTCCACAGACCAAAGAGTCACAGGTTTGGTTTGATTCTGGTCAAGAGCACATACCTCGGTTGTGGTTCGGTCCCCGGCCCTGGTTGGGGTTGTGTGGGAGGTAACCAATGGATATGTCTCTCTCACATCGATGATTCTCTCTCTCTCTCTCCTCCTCCCTCCCTGCCTCCCACTCTTGTCTGAAAATAAGTGGAAAAATATTCTTAGATGAGGATGAAAAAAAAAATTTGTGATACTGTTTTCTCTCTTATTATTTAAGTAATAATAAATCATTACTGGCATATCTTTGCTGTGTCTTCCCCGTCCTCTCCTTCCAGAAACCTGCAAGTGAGTGTTGGGGCTGCAGTAAAGTTTCCTAATATGAAATAAGTGTACCAACATAAAAATGAGAAAGGACAGTCCCATAAAGCAGGGGCTGAAGAGGCCCAGATTAGGGCCCACTCACCCAGGTTCCTCAGCAAGCAGCAACTCAGAACGAGCAGCCTTGACACTTATCTCCTCTTCCTCAGCTTCAGCCACTTCAAGCCGGCTTCGGGTTTTGGATTTAGAATGTGGCAGCTATAACATCGATTTTTGCCTCTTGGCCAGCAAAGATTAAAATATTTACTATCTGGCTCTTTATAGAAAAACTGTGCTGACCCTTGAGCCAGACACTCATGCCTCCACTAGCAGTGTGAGGAAAGCGTGGCACACGGAGGTAAACCCAGGCAACCTGAATGCAGAGTCTGCTCCTAAAGGCACAATGCTTTCCATACCCTTGTGCCCAGCTGTGACCATCAGCACCTTATCCCAAACAAGTGACTTACATGCCTGTAGAATCTACTGCCACGGCCCGAACCCCACCACGGTGACAGAGAATCTTTGCCAGCGGCTCCTTCATGGCTGGACTCCATAAGGACACAGTACCTAGAGGTCAGAGGAGAAGAGCTAAAGTTACTAATGGGCCTTGAGGAGATTAGACTTGGGGTAGATGGAGACTCAAGACAGAAAGGTAAAAGGGCAAATTCAAGGGAACTCGTGAATTACAAATATAGAAGAAAAGCAGGTTAGGACAATCAGTGAGTCAAAGCTCAGCCAGGGACCAACCATTGCTGTGTCCGAGATGGATGACGGCATTGTACGGATTCTGGGTCATGACGTCCAGCCGTCCAGCGCGGGCATTCAGAGCTACCACGATCTTTCCCACTGACACGTCCAGGTAGGTCAGAAACCCTGTCTCTGACTGTGAGAGAGCGAGAATGAGTCCTGATTGCCCTGTCCTCCCTCTACTGGGGCCCCAGGAGAGGAACAGTCTTCTCAGGGGCTTCCACCCAGCCCCTGTGCTGCACAGCCACTCACAGATGTAGCCAGGAGGAAGTGGAAAGGCAGGAACTCAAGCCTTGTGATGCGGTCACAGCGGCGGATGCAGTGGAGTTCAATTCCCTGGTTGTCATAGATGTGAAGCCAGCGGTTCTGAGCAACAGCAAGCAGTGCCTCTGAATGCAGAAACCTGGGAGAAGGGGAGGAATGGCTCAGTGGGCAAGGGATCACAGCTGTCATTCAATCAAAAATGGGCTTCCTCACCACCACTGACCGCTGACAGAGTGGCCACTGACCGGATGTCCCGCACCGCCTCCATGACGTTGATCTCACACGTGAGCCTCTTTGTCACCCAGTCAAGGGCAGCCACATGACCGCGGCGCCCTCCAAAAGCCAAATGTCTGTTGGAGGCAGGTAACACAAGCAGGGTGTCAATGCAGGGGAGCACTCTCAGATCATTTGAGGTCTGATGCACACCAGCCCTTTCTCTCCAGGTGAGAAGAGAGATGTCACTATAGATGCTCACCCTCACATGCAAGCAAATCACAGGACACTCCCCACAGCAACAACCCAAACACACTGGTATGGCTGAGATGAACATGACCTCATCCCAGTTCAAGAATCACTAGAATTCAACCTTACCTCCCAGTCTGAGAGTAATTCAGCCTGTACGGTCCAAACTGCCTCAAGTTCAAGTCAAAGTGCTGGGAAAGGGAAGAGTTAAAAAAATGAATCAGAAATAATTGGTTCACTTCAGTAATTCCCTCTTCTAGTCCCCCTTCGTCCTTGTTCCCATCCTCGGGCTCACCTTAGCTGCACTTGCAATGTCCACAGCCTCCACGATGTCAGCCTGGCATATCTTTGCTGTGTCTTCCCCGTCCTCTCCTTCCAGAAACCTGCAAGTGAGTGTTGGGGCTGCAGTAAAGTTTCCTAATATGAAATAAGTGTACCAACATAAAAATGAGAAAGGAAAGTCCCATAAAGCAGGGGCTGAAGAGGTCCAGATTAGGGCCCACTCACCCAGGTTCCTCAGCAAGCAGCAACTCAGAACGAGCAGCCTTGACACTTATCTCCTCTTCCTCAGCTTCAGCCACTTCAAGCCGGCTTCGGGTTTTGGATTTAGAATGTGGCAGCTATAACATCGTCGATAAGGAAGGAATGGGGGGTGAGGGGAACAGACACTATGTGGGTCTCCAGGGAGCCACCTGGTCCCACCTCCATCCATCTCAACCAGATACTCCATACCTGCAACCCCAGTCTCAGGCTGGTCCTCACCTTTTTGGATTTGTCAATGCGACGGAACTTCTGAGCCACCTCTACGGGGACAGGGGCGGGGCCTGGGAATGGATCTTGGGCCTGGGGCAGAGAGGAGGCAATTCGGTGACAGGCTCGGATTGACCCCAACCTTCGCACCCTCAAACGACAGGGCGACATACCCCGCCACCCTATCAGGTCCAATGCTCACCCCAGACAAGCTCCTCTGAGGCTCCGGATTCCTCTGTTCTCGGGGTTTCTTCAGGATCTGGGGCTTCTTGGAGATGCGAGACTTCTTTGGGGTGTGAGTGTTCTTTGGCTTCTGGGGGCGGAGCTCTCGATTCCTCTTCTTGTTACGATGGAGCCCTGGAGAGGCTGCAGCACCGGTCGGAGTGGTCTCTTCCTCCCAGTATCGCCGCGGTTTCTACGGGCAGATCAGGAGCCCTGATGTTCCGCTGCCCGTGCCCCCGCCCCTCCGACCCCGAATCTGAAAACTCCCCTTCCACCCCAGGAAGATTTCTACCTTCTTCTTGGTCTGGAGTTTGTCTTTCTTGGGAGGGTCATCCCTGCCGGGCTTGGGGGCAGTCTCCATCTAGCCCACCCTGAAGAGGATCCACGTGCAAACTCCTCTCAGTTGTCCCACTATCGACATGGGACCTCTCGGAAGTCCTCCAGCCGTCATCCAATCAGCGCTGTACCAGGTATGAAGCCTTTAGTCGCCATCTTGAATGAGGGCGCGCTCGCCCTTAAAGGGCGAGGCCGACCTCAGCCCTGCCTCCCGAGTGGCAGCTTCTGTACGAGTAACGAAAAAAAGGCAAGTCCGGGACCAGGTCCCAAGAAACAGTGCGGTTGGTTTTCCATCTTCGTTTCCCCATTCTGCCTAAAACCTTCACAGTTTCTTTTTTTTAGAAGAACGCCGCTTATTAAACGCGTCTGAACTACAATTCCCGGCTTGCGTCGGAGGCTAGCATCCGGCACAATCTTTTCCCGGCATTCTTTGTTTACTTCCGGGTTTATGAATACCGGAGAGAGAACGTGTGTCCAGGGTTTCGGTTGAGAGGTTTGTGGTCCTGTTTCAACTGCCATCCGCTGCGGACCGGGTCGCAGCGACACGCGGACGGGGAGAAGCCGCTGTGCGCCGAGAGACTGCCTCTCGAGAGCGCTGTCGTTTCCGCAGGCCAGACCATTAAAGGGAGCTCGGCTACCTTCCACAGTGTGAGACCCAGCGCCCAGCGCCCGCTCCTGCAGCTTTCGTCTCCGCCATGGCTGAGCTGATCCAGAAGAAGCTACAGGGAGAAGTGGAGAAATATCAACAGCTACAGAAGGGTAAGGGAGCAGGGTCGCTGTAGCCTCGCCCTAATCCCTTTACTCACTCCGAATCCAAAGCCATCCCAAGATCATGTTTTCTTCCCCACCCCCTGACCCGCCACCCCATCCTGACTGCTTCCTCAGCTCCATTTCCTTCGGACTAGGCTTGGGGAGGGGGAGGTCAGGTAGCACATTTAATGTCTCTAATAAAGTCTTTCCTCCCACCCACACTCCCCCACCCCCAGACTTGAGTAAATCCATGTCAGGGCGGCAGAAGCTTGAAGCACAACTAACAGAAAATAATATCGTGAAGGAGGTGAGACTGGGATTTGTGGGGCAAGGAGGGACCCGTACTGGCAAGGATTCTGATGTTGTGTGTACCACACCTCCATCAGGAACTGGCCTTGCTGGATGGGTCCAACGTGGTCTTTAAACTTCTGGGTCCCGTGCTGGTCAAACAGGAGCTGGGGGAGGCTCGGGCCACAGTGGGGAAGAGACTGGACTATATCACAGCTGAAATGTGAGTCTTTGTCCCACCACCCTGTGATGTGCCTGACACTACCCGAGTAGAGGTGTTGAGGAACCACTGTGGAGTAGCTCTCTAGAGTAGCCCCTGGTTGTCCATTTCCTCCAACTCCTTCTCCTTCAACCTTTCTTCCCCTCCCTCCCCTAGATTTCAAGTTGTCCACTAATCTTTCTTGCTTTCAGCACCCTCAGTAAGTCTCACTATTTTCTTAGTTGCTTCTTTGTCTCTCTCGCCTCTCCTCAGTAAGCGATACGAATCCCAGCTCCGGGACCTCGAGCGGCAGTCAGAGCAACAGAGAGAGACCCTTGCTCAGCTGCAGCAGGAGTTCCAGCGGGCCCAGGCGGCAAAGGCAGGGGCTCCTGGGAAGGCCTGACCCCATGGTGGGGGGCAAGGGGGTAACCCAGGTAGCTCTAGGGTCTATACTGCAGTTAATAAAATGTGAAAACACCTGGCTGTTTTCTGATCAGCCATTTGTTATAATCGTCTCCATCCATCCCCCCCAGCACTTCCACCTAATATATACACCACCTGTTACCCAGGTCCAAATTCACCTCTGTGACAGAGTAATCTGTCCTTCTTTCTTGAGACTAAAATCTCAACTATCTCAAACCTCCTTGTCTGTATATAAAACCCTTAACTTAGTTAGCCCCTTCAGGGAAACTTAGTTTCTCTTCAGGAAACATGAGGGCATTCACAATGCAGCAGTTGTCGGGAAGATCAGTTTAAGAACTCAGTTCTCCAACCTGAGACCCCAGGATGAAAGGTAGTGACCCCCAGTGCTGATTTTTGGTCATCCTCCAAACAGCCTTGGTATCTCTTAGTTCTTTTTAGTATTTCTTTTCCTAGAATTCATTTGAATGTAGCTTGGACTGATTTAAATTCTAACACATACTTTGTGATGTTGTACATACTTTGTGATGTTGTAAGTCCTCCAAGTTTGTACATTGCCCACAAAATTATTTTTCCACATTTGTCTTAAAATTGTTTCTTACAAATTTGCAGCCAGGAGAGTTCTTTATACTGATCACTTTAACTAGGTGGCTAGTATTTGACATGGGTCTGTGACAACTAAGGAGAAAAAAATTAAGAGCTAATAAAGGGACCATGGATGCTGAGGTTCCTAGGGAGAAATAAACCATTCTGAGGAAACCATTTTTCAGAAACACTTCACTTTCAGATCTTCATGGGGACAGAAAACACTGGGTCCCTTCATGTTCCATGGCATCTAAATTTCAGCCAGCTCCCCACCCCCACTCCCAGCAGTTAGTTCATACACACTGTAGGGACAGGGATAGAATTCAGGTAGTGTTTTATTTTAGTGTCGTCACAGGAACAGGAACTCCTACTAGAACCTACTTCTTGCCATCCCCTCTCCCTGGGACTCAGAACCTCTAGGTCTGTCTTCTCCCCCTATCTAGGTCTTCTCCTGGCCCTTGGCATGCTAGGACATGACCAGGAATCTGACCCCTTTTCCAGCACTAGCCACATGCTACATTGATGGAAAGTGGGGAGCTGCTATATACGGGTATACAACTTGGTTACCAAGATTACCAGTTCCCACAGGGCGGGACCTCTTGGCTGTCTGACAGACCAGCAGCACTTCACTGCCCAGGGTGGTTGGCCACCTTTCTGTATTTCTTCCCAATGCAACATAACTGCCACGATTCAGCATGGCTACCCACATCTGGTGTGGTCACCAAGAGTTCTGTGAGCCAAGACAGTTTCCTCCTCAGAACAGTGCCCGGGCAATCTTCCTTCCTGTGGCCTTGATCCTGGGAAAGGAACCCCCTCCTCCTTCGCTTGGGGGAGTTCCTGAGGCAGAGGGGCCGCTGGCAAGGCCGGGTGTGGCAGCAGAGGGCCTTCGCCGCTGCCGCAGGAGGAAGTCATGTGAAGCTCTGTCCATAGCATAGAAGACATTGGCCGAGGGTGGGATGGTCAGCTCTGTAGGTTCAGAGAGGGGGTGTCAAGCACAAACACAGCGTTCCCCCAACAACCACCTGGATGTAGAATTCCCACCGAAGGGCACCATTCTCCTTCCAAGTCTGCCTCTGACCTCGCTCCCCTGGTAGCAGCTGCACCAGCTCATACTCCGAAGCCACCGCAGAATCGCGATTGTTTTTCTTAAGAACACGACTGATGACACTTGGAGCCTTGTCCTGGCTTGTCACCTGGCAGGACAGGACACCAAAAGAGCAGTAAGTTGGTCAGAATGACCTCTGCTTCCCAGCCTTCCAACCCCAGCCACTGATCTGCAACCAGAACAAGGTTACCCGTGTCCTACACTTTAGAGTGAACAAGGAAACCCAATGTGGAGGTTCCCTGTCCTCCACAGGCCAGCCCACGCGGTGCCGTGAGAGGGCTCTTCCCTGTGGGAAAGCTGCTGTTCTGAAAATCTAACACAGCCACCAAAGTTCAAGATGCAGCAGCTAGTAATGCTTTAAAATACAGCTGCTAAAACCAAAAGTCAGAATTAAAACTGTAATCATTTGGGTTCAAATCTAAGACATCTGTAGTCCCACAAGGCAATGTCCTTCACCCCCACCTCCCAGCCACGGCTCCCTCACCAAGATGCTCTTGTAGACACTGCCATCTTCCCCCAGCTCCATCTGCACTCGGATGATTCGACAATCGGAAGCCCCTGGCCCAGTCCCCCCTCCCCCAGACGTAGTCCCCCTGGAGGCCCCTTCTGCACCCCCACTGAGTGGGGAACCACAGGAGGCTGAGCGGCGGTGACCTCGAGAAGGCCTAGGGGAGGATGCTGGCGGGGAGAGGTGGCTGGGGCCAGCCGGACTGTGCAGGGATGGAGTACTCTCCAGGGCGGAGTCCAGAGATGACACAGACGGCCACTTCATGTGCTGGGACAAACAATATGGGGAGCTGGTGTGAAGGCAGGGAGGTCAAGGAAGAAACATTCACAGAGTCAGGGTCAGTGCTGAAGTCAGAGGTCAGGAGCAGAGCTCACCTGGGCCAGCCGGGTCAACAGAGGAGCAGGGGTTCCAGGCACCTCATCTCCCCCAACACTAGGCCGGTCCCAGGCGACAAGGGGGGTAGGACCCCCAACAGAGCCCAGAACCCTGGAGTGGCAGGAGATTGGGAGGGTCAGAGGTAGAAGGCAAGTCCCCAAGAGACTACCCCCCAACTGCTGACTCCCTCACTCTGTCCACTGTGAGATGACCAGCGTGGGCCGAAGCACTCGAGGGGCAGGCGGGTCACTGGCACCAGGTGGCTCCACCTCACAGGACACTCGATGGCTGGGGAGAGGGGCAACAAGCAGAGGTCAGGATGTGACACACTGATCCCCACTCTGCCTGCGCCCTGAAGTCCCAACATCACCCGTCCAGTCACCTCTGGGCCTCTGTCAGTGGCCGGAGCCCCTGTAGCCACTGCTGGATGTCAGGGTCGGGTCGGAGGTCATAGCCACGACATTCATTCTGGAGCCGCCGCAGCTCAGAAAGGACAGCAAATTCCTAGGAAGGGACCCTCAGACTATAGGAGCCAAAATGCAGGGACCTGACTTCCCCTCCCTCTCCCCTTCCTGGGATGTGGCTAGGGATGTCCAGCACCCAGGCCAAGCACTCCCCTCACCTTCCTCCGCTTGTCAAAATTGATGTATCCGTTCTGCAAGGATAAGGGGGTGGGGTGAGAGTCCCAACCCTGCCACAGGGAGAGACTGAGTCCCCTCCCAATCACGGGCACCTCCATATCCAATCACGCACACTTCCCCCCGCCTCTCTGACTATTAGGCGCCTCTCTGACGCCTCCCCCCGCGTCTATTATTCCCTAAGCACTCTACCTTACCCTCTAAACTGAGTATCTCAAGTAGAAACGGTGTCCACCTTACAGAGGAGAAAATTAGGGCTCAGAGAGGATCAGGAATTTGCCCAAAGTCCCAGTATTCATTCATATGAACTGTATATGCTTAAATTTCAAGCACGTTCTAAGCACTTGCCAAAGATTAATTCATTGAATCTTCGTAACGGGTTGACGTAGACTCCGTCACTAGCTTCCCGTTTACAGATCCCTCAGGCAGAGCACGGTTAAGCAGCTTGCCAAAGCAACAGAATCCGACCTAGCACTCTGACTGGAGCCCTGGTGAGAGCTCGGGGCTCATGCAGCCCTGTCCTGGAGGGAGGTCTGTCTGACGTGAGGCTACTCGTTCTATCATCACACTGAACACACGCACCACTGACCTCCAGCTCATCCTTGGAAGCTGCATCCAGCATCACCAGATCCTTCAAGAAGGTGCCAAGGTATGGGACCACACCCTGAGGCCAGAGGTCAGAGTCAGACACCCTGCCCCTGAGCAGAGGGCTCTCCATCCCTTGCACTTTCCCATCCCATGCCTCAGGGAACAAAGTGAATTGTCCTCACCCTGCTGTGCCTTTCCCCACCCCTCAGACTGCTCCCAAACACGCTCCCTACTGCTTCACAACCACCTCCACCAGACACTCACCCCACCCCGGGATCCAGACTTCAGGGCCTTCTTGGAATTTGACTCCAGAGAGGGCTGCCCCTTCACCTCCTGGGGGTGACAGAACAAGGAGAAATGGAGGTGGGCAGGGGCAGGGATGGCTAGGAATGCCAGGGAATAGGGCCTCACCCGCAGGAGCAGCTCCCGGCTCTGGGAGTAATTATCCTCCTCGGAGAAAATCTGACAGAGGCCGGAGAAGACCCTGAGGCTGTCCCTGGGGGTGGAAGGCAGCAGGTTTGAGGACAGGCCTGGCTCAGCACCTCTCTCCCAACCCTCAGCCCAGCCCAGTGCCCATCCTCCACACCTGGCTGCTTCCCCCCAGGCTGCCCGGAGCCTGTGGATGGGGCTGGACTGCAGGGCTGACACCACAGCATAAACTGAAGAGAAATTTCGGAGTAGACGGCACTCCTGTGGGGGTTACAGTGGGGGCCACAGCTGTGGGACCTCTCACCACACCATGGTCCCCAACAGGGTCAATCTTCTCTCTTACTTCTGCCACTCGGATCCACTTCTCCAGAAGCCGGGCCCTCTGGGGCGGACGGAGTGGCCGTACGGTCACCTGCCCAGACTCCTCTCCGGTTGAGGTAGCCCCCAGGACAGAGCTGACCACTGCCCCTGCCACCTTGTTGAACTGTGTGACAGTAGCTCGCACAGATGGGCAGAGGTGGGAATGTCCCGGCCGGTCTCTGTGACCCCACAGGCCCCCCAGGCACTGAGAGGGAACCAGATTGAGAAACAGCTCCTGTAGGGCAGAGGGCAGAGGTTAAAATTCATAGCCAAAAGAGTCAGCCTTCCAATATTAGGGGTGTGAGGATCTCAGGTGGCCAAGAAAACAGAGGGGCATAGGATTTGAAGGGTAACAACCAAGGGGAAACCGGGAAAGGTCAAAACGGAGTGGACAGGAGGCTAGGAAGGGTTGGAAGCAAGGAAAGGATCTAGAGTCAGGGAAAGGTTAGTAAGGGGGCAGGGACATGGGGGAC